GTCGACATGTTGTAACTGATATTGATGCTCTGAAGACGCTTGTTGAGTCTAACCCAAGGCTACACACTTGTGAAATGTCCCTGAAATTACATGTCTCTCATGAAACAATACGTAAACATCTAAGGAATATGGGAAAACTCTTTAAAGAAGGTGTTTGGGTGCCTCATGAACTCTCCAATGATCATCATTTCCAACGTGTGAATGTTGCTTCATCTCTTCTGGCTCATAATGCGCGTGACCCATTTTTGTACAGAATTGTTACCAGTGATGAAAAATGGATTCTCTTTGTGAATATTAAATGCCAAACACAATGGCTCAGTCCTAGACAAAAACCACTTCCAACCTCAAAAACCTGGACTCCAACTGTAGAAAGTGATGCTTTGTATTTGGTGGGGCATCAAAGAAGTAATTCATTTCAAATTCCTCAATCCACAGTGAACTGTCAATGCAGAGATATATAGTCAGCAACTGGAATGTGTAAATCAAGCCCTTCATCAGAAATGCTCTTCACTTGTCAATTGGAAAGGTGTTCTTCTCCACGACAATGCACTTCCACATGTGGGACGTTTCCCACAATACAAGATTATGGAGTTGGGTTGGGAAGTTCTCCCCCACCCACCATATTCTACTGATTACCATATTTTTCATTCACTAACACCATCTTTGTGGGAAAATGTATGCAAATGTGGAAGGTGTTAAAGAGGACATCAACATTTTTTTTGCTTCAAAGCCAAGTGATGTCTTATCAGGGTATTAACAATCTGAATGCAAGATGGAAAAGCATCATTGATAAGAATGGAGACTATTTCATTTGATAAATGTTTTGTTTTGATACATAAGTTGTTTGGGTTTTTCACATAAAAAAAGCAACATTAATTTCTTGATGACCTAATACTTACAATTTTAATGTTGTAGTAATATGTTTTAACTCTTAAAATCTTCCAAGTTAATTATATTATGAAAAATTTTGATATGATGTGTAATTTTGTTTCAGTAATGTTTTTAATGAAATTTACTGCTCTTTTTTCAGTATTATTTTCATAATTGAATATTTGTGTGTGAATATTTATATTATTAAATATATTAGGTGTATACTTGTTTATTTTAACATGGTATGATGACAATAAGGGATCATTTGGTCTTTTAAGGCTGTTCTTATACATCCACCTTTGGGAAAAGTAAAAATTTAACCTTGCCCTTTATCCTTTAGGAAGTCATCAATTCTCCTCTTAAAATCTTAGTGTTGGCTTCCACTGCTGCCCAAAGCAACTCATTCCATAAACCAAACACACTGTTAAAAACTTTTTTTAATTGGAGCCTAGCTTGCTTTTCCAAAATCTTGAACTTGTGTCCTAATATCTTCAGAATACAGCTTAAAGAATTCAGGGGTCTTTCTTCTTTTATTTCTGTGAATAATCTTGCAAACTTAAATAAGATCTTCTGTTACTGTTCTTTTCTTAAAGATTTATTATAGTAAACATCCTCTGAATCCTTTCTAATAAGTCAGCATCCTTTCTTAGATATTGAGACCAAAACCATATACAGTATTCAAAGTTAGACATAACTACTGATTTGTATAGTGAGATAATTCTCTTTTGACTTGTAATCACTATGTATATACATAAACCCTAAAATTCTATAAGCTTTAGCTATTATATTATGACTGTCAACAGATAATTGTATTAATGGCTTTATCCACCACTTTGCCAAGATCCTTTTATTCAGTCATACTATTGAGAGGGTTCTTACCATAATACAGCTATACTAGAGGTAAGATCCAAATTGTAACCCACATTACCTTGCACTTACTATAATTAAAGGCCATTTGCCAAATATTTGTTCTACTTAACCAAATGATCCAAATCATTCTGTAGCACCTCGTCATCCTAAAAATACCTAAGAATATAATGTTATCTTAACTAAATCAAAGCAAGATTGAATAAGATAACCCATTAATTTTGAGCTTGTTAAGAAAAAATTTTGAAATTTAAAGAATGATAAAGCTCCTGATCCACATAATTTTCCCTTGAGGGTTTTGAAAAAGGTTTAGGATTTTTCCATAGTTACGTTAAGAATAGTAGGGGTAGGGGACAGAAATATAAATTTTGGCATGGTAGAAGTAATCTTGAACTAAAATAGTTTTATTTTTCTATCAGAGTGATTGACCTTTGGAATGGGTAGCATTCAGATGTGGTGGAAGCAGTAAATTAAATGAAATCTTGTGAAATATATGAATGATATAAACTGGCTTTGAGTTTTATTTCTAGACATTCCAGTTTCGTGGATGAGGTAGCCAAGATGGACCAAGAAGTTCCTAATTGTCCTTAAATGCTATGTTATGTTAAACTTTAATAATTTACTAATTATGATCATATCAGTATCACTGATGTAAAAATAGAAAGAGCAAAGGCCCAAAACTAACCTTTGAGGTATTCCACTAGTGATGAAGATCCAATTTGACTGGATACCATGAATAACAACCTTTTTTTTTTGCTTTATCCTATTCATCCACCTTGCAGTCCAATTAACTAGTTTTCCAGTTTCCAACAGTGTAGTTTTCTTGGCTAATCTTCTGTGTGGCTCCTTATCAAAAGCTTTTTCAAAATCTGTGTACACGAAGTTTACCTCTTTTTCCATCATTCAGATAACATCTAATGTTCTCTAAAAAGATAACATATTAGTAAGGTAAGGTTTTCCCTTTAGTTAGTTCATGTTTTTTTTGTTTTTTTTTTAATATCATATTTCAGTAAATGATTGGCAAAACTTTTTTTGTCAAACTAGAATGTTTTAAACTTCAGAAGTAAGACTAATTAGCATATAATATACTTTACAACTTTTATCACCCCTTTAAAATTAAGAGTAAATTTGTCAAGCACCTGACCACACACTATTGATGAAACAAAACTAAAAGTAAGAGGCTCACATATCTGATCTTTGACCTTCTTTAAAACAGTAGTGAAAATTTTGTCTGCTTCTGGTGCTTTATCTATTTTTAATCTGTCTTTATAATTTCCATCAAGGGATTAATATCTAAATGATTTATTTCCCATAGAATAGTCAGTATTGGGAATGTTGTCAATATCTTCTTGCGTCAAATTAGAGGAGAAGAAGACATATATAAAAGTTCTGCCATCTTATAGTCTTCAACAAAAAACCTTATTTAATTCTCATTTTAACATTTTGCTTAACTTTAACATACATAAAAAAAAGAAATCTTGCTGTTAGTTTTAATATTATCAACTGGCTGTTTCTCATAGGCCTTTTTAATTTCATAGTTCTTGTTTTAACTAAATCCTAAGCTTTCTTAGTTTTATAAATATTCCATCCTGTCTGTTAAATTATACTTGTGGAATTTATTCCTGATTTGTATCTTTAGTAATCTTGTTAGGTTTTATCTTCTGGTGTTTTACTCCTCTTGTTTTAACAGAAATGATTTTAATGAAAAAACTGCTTGGCAAACAGTTGTAAAAAGAATATTACCTTACAAACTTGTAATGAAAATTTTGTGTCTTGTACTATTAGACAGATTATAAGACATTTTTTTCTATTTTATAGAATTTTTTGTTATTCATTGAGTATACTTTTGTAAAATTTTTAGGGGTGTACTTATGTATATTTTTCTTTTCCTATGCATATACAGGAGGGCTGGGTGTTTTTTTGCCGACTGATCACATGCAGACCCACCAGAGACAGTGTATATGATAGCATTTAAGATGTCGTTAGACTTATTGACATTATCTGAATTTGTTTGCAGGTTTACTTATTTTTAATAATATCTTTGTTATAGTTATGATAAACATAGTTTAGAATTTTTATATTTCTTTTCTACTATATCTGAGACAATTAAGAATTGTAAACCTGGTGGCATTTCTCTGGCAGTTCCTTTAAGAATATTTCATTTGCATTATAAAACTGAATATATCCTTTTTTAAGGATTTTTTATTATGGATAGATGATAACCACATGTCAGTGCCATTTGTTTTGTTTTTTTAATTATATAGTTTGCATTGCTGCTTCATAAGTTTGGCATATGTAATAAAATAAATCTCTTTGCATCATATTGTAAAACAAATTAATTTGAGTGCGAACTTCTCTAAAGAATTGTTATGAATGAAAGATGAAAGTGTTTTCAATTTTTCTATAAGCTATATATATATTCTTGTGTATGTTAATTTATTTTTATAGGTAATAGTAGTTGAGAACAGTATTTAGGTTGGCAAGTAACCACCACTTAAATCTAGAAAAAATTAACTCAATATTATTCATTTATTGGTGACAAAATTTGTTTTTGTTGTCAGCCAAATCTTGAAACTTAGATAAAGTGAAGATGAGTAATAGTTATTTAAAGAAAGATTTGCACTTGTTTATTTAAAAAATACTCAATAGTATTATGATGCATTCTTGTGTGTTGATAGATCAGGAATTTTTTCCAAAAAATAAGAATAATAATCAAAATTACTAGTATGTGGCAATTCTAGTGTGTTGTGTAACTTTTGAAATGTCAGTAGAATATACATGGAAACCAATGAGACTACTGTATATCCTTAAACCTATTTAAACTAAAACTATTGAGAAAAACATGGTACTTTAGAAACAAAATTTCATGAAAGAAAATAAAGTTCAAATTATTGGAGGATATTTCTAATTTACTTATGTGTACTGCTATTATTTGAATGAATATTACATTTAGCTAACATAAGCCCACGTTGGTTTAATTTTACTTTCCCTTTCAACAAATGTTTTGATCATACATCATGGATGGAAAAACTAGCTGCCACTGAAATTTTATTTGTGATGAAAACTATTTTAAAAGTTTTAATTTCTTTTTTTTTTGTCTAAAAAGACATTTATAGTGACAGTTTTCTTGCACATATGATATTATAGATAACTGTTTAAAGAAATTAAATTTAACACTTATACAGAAGCATGCAAGTTTATTGGAACACCTCAAAAACTTTCATTTCATGAGCTTTAAGCACAAAATAACTATTGATTTGCAATAAAATTAACTTATGATACTGCAAATTAATCTTACAAAATTAGTAAACATATAATGTCTGTAATGCCATCTTTAGCATCAATGGCATCTTTCTAGTGTAATGTATGTGTATTTTCTAGTGTAACTTGATTTAATTTTTCTTGAAGCTGTATCCAGAGACATTCTTCAGTACAGTTGGTACTGTTGTCAAGTATGAAACTCACCAAATCAGATTTTTTATGGGGTTAAGGTCTAGACTTTCTATCTTTGCCAGATACGCTCAACGTTTTTGGAAGTAAGTTTTCATTCATTTTGAGAAAAATGAAATTCTGTCCAATCAGACTCTTTCCAGAGGGCATACCACAGTAAACTAATGTACTGTAGTATTTATGCTGATTCTTTGTTTTGCCACTTCTGTAGAGACGGCCAATATTATTTGCCTCAAACCATAGAGCCTTCTGTTTGCTTAACTATTGGCTCAAGGCACTTCTTCTGTAACCTCTCATTGATTCTTAGGTGAACATATACATACTGCTTGTAAACAAACAGTTCAATTTATCTTTCCAAAATACCTTGTGCTACTACTACCAACAGCAGGATACATGATCTTTCATAAAATCTAGCCTTTTTGCACAGTAAGGACTTTCTTGCTGCTACTTTTCCCCAAAGACCACATTTATACAGCATTCGTGATACAGCACTTCTTGAAACTTTATCTGTGTATCACTTGATAATGTCATCAGCAGGTGTTTTGCAGTATTGATTCAGTTTTTCAGGAAATCGATTTTTATTTGTCTAACATCTCTCAGTGAGTTTTTTTGTCAGTCACATACCTGATATTATAGGACTGGGTCTCCTTGTATCTGTCTAATGTGTACCTCAGAGTAAGTGGTAAACAACTGAGGTATTTTGCAATTTTTCTTAAATTCCAACTAGCTGTACATTAAGATTTGACCGTCACTGAGGGTCCCTCAATTATCTCTCTCTTTCTGTTTTAGCATTTTAATGGCGACACCACACTTTATTAGCTGTACCATATATTGGTTTAAAACAAAACATGAAAACTCGGAATGCCAAGATATCATTTTTTCAGCAATGACTGGTACAGAAACTAATAGTAATCACGCTTTATAATGTTACACTGTATTGTCTTTAGATAAAATATCTTGAACAACCCTAAAAAATCTGCTGCACTTAATCATTTGTACAATTTGTTGCTTTTTTCTTAAAATTTAAGATTAATTAAATGTGTGGCATGTTAATATGATGGATAAAGTGATAAAATAAGCAATTTGCCAACTTTTTTTTTTTCAGTAATTTATACTAAAATAGTCATTTCCTAGGGATAAAAATTCCGAACTACTGTTGCAATGGAGTATTCCAATAAATTTGCATACTTTATATACTTCCCATTTATGTCTACTTGAATATTCTTTAAATAATGTATTTTCACATTATGAAGTAAAAATATTGATGGTGAACTTAAATCCACTGTGAAGTGTCTTGTATTAACTGGTTAAAAGGTATTCTGTACATATATTTTTTTGTATGAAGTGTCTATACATTCATTTTCTGTAATTGAATATACTATTTAAAAGATATAAACAGTATCATCTTTCATTCTTATTTTTATTAAGTATTTTTTGAAGTTTCTGATTGATAATTTTTTTTACTGTAATTTAATGATTGTAATGTTAAACAGAAGATACATACATATTTTACTTACACAAGTATATCAAAATCTGTAAATTAACTTGCAATATTTGTAACCCTAAATATGTATTTGAAAATAGTTTATAGAGTACTAATGATATACTTAGCATTTATTCTAAATTAATATATGTAATTACTTTTTGTAGTTGTTCACAAAATACCATTTTTGTTATTTGATATTGTGATTTTCTTTACTTATATGAAGTCTTTCCTAACATTTAAAATTTTGTTTTTAACACAATAGAAAAAAATGCAGTGATTATATTGTTAAAACATAAACACATAATCATATGGATGAAAAGTTAATACATTGATTTAACAAACAAAATAAAATAAAATTATGGAATATTTTTGTGAAAAAAAATGGTGAACAAACTTGGGAATTCCATAATTGGATTTCTGTAGAGTTTATAATATTTTTGGGATTAAAGTTTAACACTGACTTAGATATATATTTACTTTATATAATGAGAAATATATATTTTGAGAGGAATCTTTATTTATAGTTGAGGATCATTCACTCACTATCTTTTTTATGAATACAACCTTGTTGTGAGATTTGTTTCATATATATGGATATATTGTATGAGGGATTCTCCAAATAATAAATAAATTTATGTAAGTTGTTGTATGTAATAATTCTACACTGAAACATCTTTCCAAATATAGTTAGGTGCATTAAGATGACAGATAAATATACTTCAAGACTATAAGTTAAAGGCGTTTTTTTCACACCCAATTCAGAAAAAATTGCATATGTGACTGTCCTTCAAATAAAAACTGACAATATATCAGTATTTATTTTTCTTTTAATAAACCTTCTATATGTTACTCTTCTGCTTTTATGAACTTATAAGTAGTTGTATTTAATAGTGAATTATTTAATTCAATTTTCTTTTGTTGGTTGAATTAGGATAAGTGCTAGTAAAGTCTACATTGTTTATGAAAAGTATTAAACTAATAACACATGTAGAAAATGATTTTTCATTTCTCATTCAGAAACTTAAAACAGTCTCAGCCTCCATTTTATAAATCTATGCCTTTGATGACAGAAGAGTAGTTGTTCCTAAGAAGTATTCATTTTTTACTTCCTAAATTTGTATTTTTCACTTCAAATGATAAAAGTCCAATCTTATCATTTTATTATCTGACTAAACACTTGAAGTCAAAAGTGGCCTTGCTGAAATGCTATGAACTTACCAAGGAAGATTTTTGTTGGAAGTTCAGAGAAGTCAAATTTGACACTTGATAAACTGAATTTCAGTTTGTGGCACATCTATGGAGACACTTTACAAGACAGACTGACGTGGCCAAGTGTGAACATAGTTTTGAGGGACTGGCAGATCTACTAATACGTAAACAGATCATGATCACATGCTCCACTGACATGTCACTGCTCCTATAGGAGAGAGCACCAAAAGATGTGGATGAGATGATCAAGCTGGCTGAACAGTATTTGGAAGCCCATGGATGGAGTATAACTGGCAAGTTCAAGAATAACCAGTAAAATTTGAAACCAGAGGTGGCTGACCAGAAACAGGATACCACTAAAGGTGACAAATGGGAGAAGAGTTGCTAAATTTGTTGTAAAATGGGCACAATACAAATGAGTGCAAATTTATCACCAACAAGCAACAGCAGAAATCTAATCATAAAGCAGCTGGAACTACCTACAAAAGTGGTGCTGGCAAGAAACAAGAGAAGAGTGACTATCACCATGGATGCTCCTTCTAGAAGAAACAGAATAGAAACAACACATCAGATTCACCACAAGAAGGAAGTGCTATCTCCATGATTAAACAGTGCACGATTGATAGTCATCTCAAGTTAGCAAATGGGTCAACAGTGCCAGTGGTGATTGGAATATGTGACAAACATCAAGAGGTGCCAACAAAGTGCAACATGTCATTAGGTGAAGGCTATGTTGGGGACAAGAAAGTGAAAGTCCTATGAGACTTTCAGAGCAACAGTGAGAACCAATCTAGTATCTGATGACCATATGACAGTTAAGGTTCATCTTTGTGTGCTGATTGATGGGACAGTGAAAAAGTTTTCTATAGCAAGAATAAAGATGGACACACTCCATACTATTAGATCATCAAGAAATTAATGTCATTACCTCCCCCCCCCCAAAAAAGTACAT